TGGCGTTTTTATTGGGGGGCTGGGTCCCTTCTTGCTCTAGAATTCCTAGCTCACATCATTAATCCTCTTTACAATGCACACATATTTCTTAGGCTTTCTTTATATTTTTTCTCTTCAATCCTCTAAGAGATTAGTACTAAGAGATTTGTGTTCAGTTTCACTATTTCTGTCTTCCATTGATTGATTTCTACTCCTTTGCCCTCCCAGTGTTTTATGTATTTCTGTAATTTTAGTATTAGTCTTCTGGATTTCTATTTCCTGTTTTTGTGTGGTTTATAATTTTCCATTTACTTTGTCCATTTGATCTGGTGGTGTTTTCGTGAATTCTTCTAGAAGTTTGTCTGTATTTTTCTTTATTTTTAATGGTTTTCTTGGTGGTGTCTTTGTTTTCCTGCATCCCTTTCTTGATCTGTTGAAAAGCCCTAAGTGTAATTATTTTGAATTCCTTATCAGGTAGTTCCAATACCATTCCTTCCTCCAGGACATTTTCCAGTCTTGTATTTTGGTCACTTGCTTGACTCATCTTGTCCTAGTTCTTTTGTGGATGTATATGTGTGAAATTTGAAGTTGTCCATTGTCTCATGACATTATGGTATTATTGAATTAATCTGTTAATTCTATGTATGTTGATTTGCTTCACCCTCATATTTCAGTTTGTTTTTATATATTGGGCAATGGGATTAGCATGCTCCTTTAGTTGCTAGTTTGGCAACACTGGTGCACCCATCACCTGTCTCTGGGTTGATTTGATAGAGAGTGGGAGTGTGAGCACAACTTTGTGATTGCTAATCATGTAGAGCAGCTGATGACAGGTGGGGTGGGTGTTGGTCACAGTCTGTCATCAATCCAGTGGTGCTGGAGTGGGTGATGGCACTTGCCAAGTGGGTGGAGTGTAAGATGCAGTTAGTGTGGCTGGGTAGGGTCACTGGCTCCTGACTGATGTGGGGGAAAAAACATTGAGGGGGAGGAAGAAAAAAAGAAAAAAAAGACAGAATGGGAAGAGGAACAACTAACAAAGAAGAACAAAAGAAAAAGAAAGCTGCATAGTACTGGAGAAGTGCTAGCTGCTGAATACGCCTCTGGTGGGAATGTAGCACTCTGTAAGAGGGAGCATCACCAACTGTAGAGGGGTGGGAGCAGGCACTACTTACCCTGAAGCCTTCAGGGCAGGGCACCTGCCATGGGATTGAAAGAAAAGGGAAGGAGTGGGGAAATAAAAAAGGAAAGGAAAAAGCAAGGGGGATGAAATGGGAAGAAGTAAGAGGAAAGGAAAAGAAAAAAAAAAATCACTTTAGTGATGTAATCTCTAGCTGCCAAGCATGGCCAGGGCAGGAATGCAGTGCTCACTCCGCAGGAGCATGCATTGCTGACTGCTGAGTGGCGAGGGCAGGTGCTGCTGACTGTAGAGGGTGAAGGGCATGATACCCATGCCACAAGATCAAAGAAAAGTGGGTTGGGGGTGGGGAGATGTGTATGAGAGAAAAACTAAGAAAAAAGGAAAAATAAATAAAAAGCAGCACAGTACTAGCAATGGTGGTGGTGGTGGTTTGACCAGCCACCAGGTAGATAAGGATTTGGGAGGTTGTGTGAGGTAAAGGAGGAGATCACACCTCTCTCATTGCCAGTCACTGATGCTGATTTCAATGTAGTCCTGCATGAGCAAAGTTAGTTTTCTGGTTCCTACACCTATCAGAAAGAATGTTCTTTGCAAAGTGCATGGGAGGTACAGACAACAAAGATGAAGCCTTTTGTACATACAGTGCTGTGTTGTCAGTGATGGCCAACATCGATATACAGGTGGATAGATGGGTGGACAGGCTGAACGATTAGGTATGACTATGCAAGGGGGATTGTGCCCATGACCATGTATAGGGTTGGCAGACAATGTTTTACAAGTGTATTTGTATGTTCTGTAAGAATTCCCAGGTGTATAGTAAAGCTGACAAGGGACAAGTTTGTAGTCACTTCTTGGCCACAGCCAGCTACCCAGAGGGAGTAAATAGTTGGACCTGTGGGCTCAGGACCATGGTCACAGGGGACATCAACCTCAATGGTTATAACATACCGCAAAAACATTGTTTCACATCCTACTTTGGCGAGTAGCGACTAGGATCTTAAAAGCTTGCAAGTGGCCATATAGATGCAATGATAGGTCTCTCCTCACCCAGAGCAAAGAATAATGAAGAAAACCAAAGACATATGGGAACAATTAGTCCAAGGTACTGGTACAGTATGCGATCCTCAGCCTGTACGCTATGAAACCAGAAGAACTAGATGGTGCTCGGCTACTACTTGGAGGGGGATCTATGTGGGAGATGCTGGATAGAGTGGGAGAATAATGTAGAACAAAACTCAAAATCATAAAAAAAAAAAAAAAAGAAGAAGGAAGAAAAAGGGACCAAATTTGCTGGTCTGATGGAAGCCCTGAAACTATGGCCCCTAGCTGCCCTTCAGGTCTGGAACTGAACCCACTCCTGTGGCTTCTAGTCAAACATAAGACTGGTATATGAGCTGAACATTTACATGAGGTAGATACATTCCTTGGAGAGATCAGTAGTGGGAGAATAGAAGGGCAGTGTATGTACAGGGAGACAGCTGGTGGGGGGGGGCAGGAGTGCACAGGAGGGAAGGACACAGGGAAGAGGTGACTATGGGGAGGAAGTGAGAGAGGAGCTGTTGCATTATGGGAGATTGAAGTCAATGTCATGAGACAAAGTATGTGAACTGCTCTATGGAAGATGAATTTGCTCTGTAAACTTTCACTCAAATCACAATAAAACTTTTTAAAAAATGCTCTTTGCAGTAATTTAAAATCGTTGCACTGTGCTGGGCCATTTAGCAGTTCATCACTCCATATTCCTGCTGGTTCACTGTTTTCATTCAGGCTCTTCTTCTAATCAATATTTTATCTACTTGTTTATTCTTTCCTTTGAAGTTCTGATTTTGAGGATTGTTATCCATATCCATTTCACTTGGTTTCTCAGGTCTTTGTTGTAGAAGGTCTGGGTAGGATATCTACCTAGTCCACTATTGGATCAACTTACTTCTCTCTTTTTTTTTTTGTGATGAGTGTCTGAATTTTAGGAGCATCGTGGGGCACTTGACTGCTAACCAGAAGGCTGGCAGTTCAAACCCACCAGCCACTCCTCAGAGAGAAGGTTGGGCAATCTACTTCCATAGTGATGCTGCCTTGGAAACCAAGGAGAGGTCGCTGTGAGTCAGATCCGATTCCACAGCAGTGAGTTTGGTTTGTTTTGGTTTTTGTCTGAATTTTGGAAATGCTCATGTTCAAATTGCAGTCTTTTTAGCACTGTCGGTGCTTACATAAGCATATCATTGAATGCATCTGTCACATTTTCAATGTGAAAATAATTAGAATTTATACATAGAAAGTACAGCAGTCTCACTGTAATCACTTGCACTGATTAAACCTGAAGAACCCCAGGATCTTCAGAGGTAAAATTATAAGACTCTTGAAATAAACTGATCTTAGCCAAGCCAATGATATATTTGAGCTTATAAAATCTACAAAATCCAAAACCAAAATCACTGCCATTGAGTCAGATATGACTCTTAATGACCTCTCCTTGGGTTTCCGAGGCAGTATCACTACAGAAGTAGATTGCCCAGCCTTCCTTCCAAGGAGTGGCTGGTGGGTTTGAACCACCAGCCTTCTGGTTAGCAGTCAAATGCCTTAGGCTCTGCACCGCCAGAGCTCCTTCATAAAATCTAGTGGCGGTGGGGGGAGGAGGATGAATGTCCCTCAGAGTAACCCAATAAAACCTGTTTGTTCAGTATACCACTTACATCAATTTGGAGGTGATTATAACTCATGTTGAGTTCACGTGTCAGAGTAGGACTGTACTTTCAATTGGTTGTGATCTTTTGGAAATAGACTGCCAGGCCATTCTTCCTAGGTTCCTGTGGATGGATTTGAACCTCCAACCTTTTGGTTAGTAGTCTAGGGCTTAAAACCCTCTGTGACACTCAAAAGACTGTTCATAAATTTGGGGAAGCACAAACTATGGGTGTGTATGGTGGAAAATGGGCTGAAATGACACAGTATCCTTTGATTTGTGGATGAAAATACAGAGGTAGCTTATTGTAGTATATATTGTTCTGATATCTTTGTTACTAGAGCCCTTAGAAATCCCATGTTTCTTAGATTATAGAAGATAACAATGTAGAGAGCTTCCAGAGATTCTGCAGGGCATTGATCCAGGGGTTGAGTTTCCTCAGCCTTACCTCCATAACCTTGTTGCAGAGTCTGGAGTTGCTTTGCCTCTAGTTCAGGTACTGACACTTCAGTTTTTAGATCTCATTTTTGCTTCTCATTCTTGTTATAAAATGTCCAGCTGGAATTGGATCAATCACCACAAAAGGAAAAAAAAAATTAAGAGAGTCTGGCTCACTGAGTGATGGTTCCTCCAAAGACAAGATTTCAAAGTTCAGAATTTTCATCTCATATTTGTCAAAGTTTTCAATTTTAGGGAATTAGGAGCATGTAAAAAGCTTCTATTTTATCCAAACCATTTGATATAAGCATAATATATTTTAAAAAAAAAAACTGTCCCTTTTGTTAAATTTGTTTTTAATGAGTATTGTGGCAAATTAGACAATTAGAAGTTTGAATCAGAAATACAATTAGTCATCTGTAGCAGTTAGATTGCCTTAAGAAGGTTGAAATTACTAAGGGTTTGAAATGTAAAGTGAAAAAGCCTAATATCGAGAAAAGCACAGTTCTTTCCATCATCCTCTTTTGGCTTTAAAAATTGCTGCTATAACAGAAAGGGAGTTAACCACACAAGAGCTAAGCATAAGTGATCCCGAACCCACAAGAAGAAAATAATCCCACAAAGTTAAGTTTCACACATGGTCCTAGATGTTTGTTCTATGAACTTAATAGGTTGAGATTTTCCTAATATTTAATTTTTTTTTATACTATCTTTTCTTTCTTTCTATTTGATAAAATCTATTCATTTTAGTTTTTCTTTTTTCAGATGAAAGCCAAAAAATTCTAATATGGTGCTTATGCTGTCTGATTAACAAAGAACCACAGAATTCTGGAGAATCGAAATTTAATTCCTGGATACGGGTAAGAGTGTGAATCTTGCCCTGCTCTGCTTGAATTAGGCTTATTATTAGAAGGTGCTACTTTTACAGTTCAGCTTTATGATGTTTTAGAAACTTCTTTGAACAGCTCTTTCACTGTAGTGCTGGATTTAAAGTTATTCAAGAGATTTCTCTTTTGCTTGATTGGTCCTTAGGATGAATTTTCCCATGTCTACAAGACCTACTGTTCAGTGGTTTTGCAGAATTTACTTCAAGTAATTAAAAGATTGTACTTTATTTCTTTCTATGAATTGCTATCCTTTAGGAAATTGCTTCTCCCTTGCTATTTAAAGAACTTTTTGTTACATTTCTATGTACTTCTCTGTCTCTCTCAGACCTATTCTGTAGTAAAACTAAAATTCACAAGTGTCCTGGGAACAACAGTCTTTATTTTGCACCCTACAGGTGGCACTGGGTCAAGATGCCCACAGATTAGCACCAGGCTGCTACTTGGCCACAGATTGGTTAACCTGCTAGTCTAATCCAGAGAGCTGACAGCTGCCTGGATATTCCCTTGTCTGTTTCTGCTTCCTCTTGACTGGCGAGGCAAGGTGGGGGATTGTGGCCTGGGTTGTGGCTGCCTTTACCACCAGGAAGTTGACTGTTCTTCTCCATGACCCCCCACTGTCCTGCTCCAACAACACTGAGGACTTGCTGATGCCTGTCAGAATCCATTTAGTATGCATATGGCTCAAATTAGCTGCTTAGTATTATGAAATTGCCCAACCAGCATAATGCAGATGGTTTTGTCCATTGGTATGACTGGTAATATCATTCCATTTACTGCTTTTTTGATTCCTTTGTTTTAGACAAAATTGGTAACAGAGATGACAAAGATGGTATTTATATTTTTCTGTTAGATTAGAAGAATAGAAGGTACAGTAGAAGTGAAAGGGACTGGGTGAGATGAAATTTAAAAGGAAAGAATGTAAAATTTAATTGGAAGGAAAATGAAATGTAAAGAAAGAATAAATGTGAAGAAAGGAACTGATAAGTAGAATTGGGGAGGAAAATGTATGAAAACAAGGCTACAGAAAGACATACAATAACATTAAATCTTTGATTTTTAAAATTCTTTGCTTCTGCTGAATACTTGTTATTTTCATGAATACTTGTCCAATGTTGTATTGACTAGTTCATTAATTCGTTCACAGACAGTTTAATAAAGTGATTTTTCAGGTGGTTAGGTTAACTTTCTTCATTTAATTCATGACTTTATTAGTCTATTTCAGATTTCTAGCCTTTTATTTTTATTTTATGGTTTCCCCTTATTTAATACTCTGTCCATTTACAGTTGATGTTAGCTGCTGTAGAATTGGCCCCCTGACTCATAGCAATTCCATGCAACAAGGGAATGAAATGCTGCCTGGTCCTATTTTATACCTAGGATCAGTTGTGGATGAGCCTGTTGTGATATGTTAGCTGATTTTCAGAAGTAGATTTCCAGAGATTCTGCAGGGCATTGATCCAGGGGCTGAGTTTCCTCAGCCTTACCTCCATAACCTTGTTGCAAAGTCTGGAGTTGTTTTGCCTCTAGTTCAGGTATTGACACTTCAGTTTTTAGGTCTCATTTTTGCTTCTCGTTCTTGTAATAAAATGTCCAGCTGGAATGGGATCACTCACCACGAGAGGAAAAAAAATTAAGAGAGTCTGGCTCATCAAGGAGGAACCTGAGTGGTACAATAGCAGTCAGTGGCACACCCTCTTCTGTCTCTGTTATTTCAGGCCCTCTCAGGGCCTCTCTTGGGATGCATCCTTCGTGAGTTGTCTGGAGTCCTCCTAGCATAGTGATGAACTTTTTGAGCAAGATTAAAACAGTAATTAATTTCTAAGATACAAGACTATTTTCTACGCAGGATTCTGCACACCTTGGTTAATGCCAGTGTGCCAAGATGCATACATAGTTTGGGAACATCTGTATAGAGTTAAAGAGCCCTGATGGCACAGTGGTTAAGTGCTTGGCTGCTAACCAGAAGGTTGGAGGTTCAAACCCACCAGTTGCTCCCTGGGAGAAAAATATGACAGTGTGCTTCTGTAAAGGTATATAGCTTTGAAAACCCTAGGGGGCAGTTCTCCTCTGTACTGTGTGGTCACTATGAGTCAAAATCAACTCAATAAGTTATTTAAACTTATGTTAACTACTCAATTTTAGCTTGTTTTGATAATATGTTAGTCAAATTAATTTTTAACAAATCTGATCTGGTGCCCTGTTAAGCTAGTACCCTTGGGTGGCTGCCCAGATAACTCTCCTCTTAATCAGTTGCTGATTGCAAGAGACTGAAGAAAATGGAGAAGAGGGGCTGATTTACAGGATATTACTAAGATAAATAACCACAGTATATAGTGGCAGACTAAGTACAGAAAGGGAAGGAAGAGTTAAGGATGTCTTCTGGTATTTCAGAGGACTAGAGAAAGTTGGTGTTGTCAGTTAGCAAAGGAAATCCAAGTGAAGTAGTGGTTTGAGGAGAGAAGACAAAGTTTTGGACACTTCTGGGTGGAGAGGTACTGAAGGCTGTTGAATGTACAGTCTTGGGAGAGCAAGCATATTTGCAAATACAGGATTGAGAAACATCAGCACATGGAAATAGTGGAAGCCGTGGGTGTATGGGTAAGATACCCAGGGAGAGCACCTAGAGTGTTGAGGTTTGGGAGACACTGATATTGGAGGAGTGCATGGAAGAAGAATCTCCACTGAAGATTAAAACGGAGGAGTCAAAGAAACAGAAGGAGAAAAGCAACGGCATCTCAAGAAGATCATTCGTTCCTAATATTATAAAGCAGCATTGTTCAGTGGAAATAAAATGCATGCCACATTGTAAATATTCTAGTTGTTGTTATTGTTATGTGCTGTTCAGTCGGACCCAACTCATAACAACCCCTCCTTGGGTTTCCGGGGCGGTATCACTACGGAAGTAGATTGCCCAATCTTCCTTCCGAGGAGTGGCTGGTGGTTTTGAACTGCCAGCCTTCTGGTTAACAGTCAAATGCCTTAGGCACTATGCCACCAGGGGTCCTATTTTATAACCTAGCATATGCAAAATACTATCAACATGTAGCCAACTAAAAATTATGAATGGTGTATTTTATATATATTTTTTTCACACTAAGTCTTTGAAATAAAGTAAGCACATCTCAATGCAGATGCTAAGTTTTCATTGAAAATTCTTGATCTGTGTTTAGATTTCATAAAATTTACAGTTAAAAAAGTAGATTCACTTACTCTAGTTGTTCTAAACAAACTTAAAAGTTTTCCAGTAACTAATCAAAGGTCAGTTTTTAAATTGAAATTTAATTGAAATTATATAAAATTTTTTCCTCATTTGCACAAGTTACATTTGAAATGCTCAGTGGACACATGTGGCTAGTGATCACCTGTATAGAAAAAAGCAGGATAACGATTGAAAAGTACTACTTAGATTTTAGCTACTGGGTGAATGACCTTTGTGAAAATGGTTTTAGTGTATCTGGAAGTAAGTAGCCAGATTGCTACACATGGAGGAATGACTAGGAGATAAGGAAGGAGAATTGATAAACTTTGATTACTCTTTCAAGAAAGTTGGCAGTTCAAGAGGAAGGTAAAGAGGTGGTAGCTAGACAAGATCATAGAGTTGGGTTAGTTATTTGGTTGAAATTGAGAAAGTTCTGATACTGCTTTATTCTGAGAATAAAGTGCCAGTAGGAAGGGATTGAGGACATAGGAGATTGGGAAAATGATTTTGCTCCTCGTGCTAAGCTCTGTGCAAGGCTGAACTACTAACTGATGAAAAGGTATAGGAATAACTGTTATTTAGCATTCTAAATGTAATTACATCTCACTGTCACAAATCAATACCTACATAATCTTATAATGTTGGCCATAAATGCAGCAAGACAGAAGATAGTTGTTGTTTTATAAGTTAACAGTGCATTATATGAGTATGTTGTTGTTGTTGTTGTTGTTGTTAAGTGCCATCGAGTCGTCTCTGACTCACAGTTGACCCTATGCACGGCAGAACGAAACACTGCCTGGTCCTGAGTCAGGACCTGAGCTATGATTCTTGCTACACCTGAGCCCATTGCCACCGCCACTGTGTCAACCCACATCATTGAGGGCCTTCGCTTCTTTCATCGACCCTCCACCTTACCAAGCATGACATCCTTCTCCAGGGAATGGATCCTTCTGACAACATGACCAAAGTATGTGAGACAAAGTCTGGCCATTCTCTCCTCCAAGGAGCACTCTGGCTGTACTTCCTCCAGGACAGACCTGTTAGTTCTTTTAGCAGTCCATGGTACTTTCAGCATTCTTTGCCAACACCACAGTTCAAAAGCATCAACTCTTCTTCAGTCTTCCTTATTCATTGTCCCGTTCTCACATGCATGTGAGGCAATTGAAAATACCATGGCTTGTGTCAGGTGCACCTTAGTCCTCAAGGAGACATCTTTGCTCTTCAGCACTAGAAAGAGGTCCTTTGCAGCCGATTCGCCCAGTGATATACCTCGTCTGATGTTCTGACTGCTGCTTCCATTGGTGTCGATTGTAGAAC